TTTTAAGATGTGCACACTCATGAGAATCACATACTACATGAATACGATGGTATCCTGAGGAATTTTTTTGCAAAAGTACTCAACCACACTCTAGAACCAGGCAGTGGGACCAAGCTACAATTTCAGTGACTAGGAAGTACTGGTGTCAGCAAGGCATCACTACTTGCTTTCCTGTCCTCATGTGTGTGACATCCAGTAGAATTGTAGCATCGATTCTCCTTGAACACGTTAGGGGCAATGTTGGAGATCATGACTAAAAGTTCATTGATAGTCATGATTAGGGATACTCTAATGGACCAGGAAACTAGGCCTGCTCCCTCCAACAACTATAAACAGTCACACCGGGATTGCCCAATAGTGGAGAACATAAACTCAACAATGTCTCTTAGCAGTAAGAGTCCGTCATGCAGGGGATTTCCTGTTGGCTGCTTCCAACTCCTCCTTTGGCACACTCCTCGACCCATAGACCATGCGCACTGGTGTTGTCTTTCACCTTGCCACCTTGAAAAATGTATTCCTGATAAGCAACAAATCACAATATTTGACATTATATGCTTTTATGTGCACATAACATCTTTTTGCCCTCAAGATCATTGTTAAACGTTTGCAAGTTATGTACCAAAACTTCTAATAATATTAAATTAATTACATATATACCTCCTTACTTAAACTTTAAATATACTGGTAAATCTTACTTAGATTTCTGCCTGTGCTGGTTCTAATTTGCTCATCATTGACTGGTTTTCACTCGATAATTTTTGAAAGTCGTTTAGTTGGCTTCACTCATCAACACTAATAACTTATTACTTTAAATTTTGATTGACTTCGAACCTAAAATGTCGGTGTATTTTAGGAAGTTGATGTTTCTGAGAACAAAAATTTACCTTTCCAATTTGCCTTAAAAATTGATGTTTCTTAGTAGAAGGTTTGAATGAGTTTCATACTATGTATGTGTTTATTTCTCCTTCTTACTGAAGTAAGAAGAACGAATAAGGACATCTGATTCTTTTCGAATTTTCACCACTAATATTTAACTACTTTAGAAACTTGTGCCTCATTATGCACTATTCTTTCACGTTCATTTAGGTAGAGAGGGCTGAGGTTTTGCAGTATGGGGATACCTATGTCTGACTGCACAATGACTGAAATACATCTAGTTTATATTTATTTTCTTAGATTAAAAAAAATCGCTGATAGTCTAAAGAGAGGGTTTAACAGCCAAGTACTTTAAAACAACCCTGTTCCCTCGGGAGCTAAAAGAAATACATATGACTACTTTAGAGAAATTATCACGAAGTAAACTACAAAAAAATGCATTATGATAATATCGAGAAATAAATAATATAAAATAAAGAAGTACAAATTAAGAGTCATGATATTACACTGATGGAGAAATGTTTTTAAATGCAATAAATAAATAACTAAAATAAAATCTACGTAACTTGGTGGAATTGATATAGTGATAGGGACAAGTTTTAGGTAAAAGGAAAGTGGACACGTACTCAGTAATCAAGACATTTACCAAGGAAACGCTTTAGTACGAGTTGCTTCTTCATTTCTAATAAAGAGAATCTGGAACAATTACTGTGTAGTACAAGTGGTCAAGTGAACATTGATCAAAACTGGGGTAACATATTACAGGTGGAGTTAGTTGCATCTGCCTGAGGTAAACCAGTCGACCGTCTGCAAAGTCAGTGTTACTGATGGGTAGTAGTTGTTTGCCACGGTTATGGATATACTGTATTGTATTTGTCTAACGTCTGCGGGAAAAAAGTTGTTTATAGCCATCATGGCTGTTTCTGTGCACCTACATTACCATAAATTATTTTCTCGAGTTCTTAATTTGACTTTCTTGAATTTCGCGATGTTTTTTCTGTAGTATTAGCTTGCGTTATTATGACTGTCTCAGCTGCAGGTGTATTAATTTTTGCTAAGTCTGGATTTTTGTGTTCCAGATGTTTTGCCTGTGTACTTTTTATCTGAATGATGTATACGCTAGAATTCAAGCTAGAATTGTCTGTTCTATCTTTTATGATTTTTTTTTATCCAAGTCTTTAATGGGGGTTGAGGTTTTGAGATTATTTTCAAATAGTCATCCGTCATTAGTAATGATATATTGATAGCCACGTTATTAACTACTAAAAATATGTACTTAACAGATGGGTCTGTTGTATTTCCTGTGTCGTTGCCGCAGAGAATTAATATAGATCAATCGGTCTTCACTGATAAAGTGTAGTTGCGCCTGAAGTTGATGGAAGGCCTGATAAAGGTGTTTGAAGTCAATTTTAGCTATTTCAGACTGTACATCCTACAATTTGGAAGAAAACGTTCTGTCTTGACGCCTCTCTCGATCCTCTTGTCACGATGGGAATAGAAATGAATGAAGTCATTCTTGTATGAAGGTTTTGTAAAGATATGAAACAGAAATCTCCTTCCGTATAGATTAACACATTACGAAATAGAAAATGGGTCTTTCTCTCCTCATATACTCTCAGATACTGTGAATTTGATGGTGGATTTAGTGTTTTGAGTACTTAGCCTTCTTGGTACGATGAGCAGGTTGTCATATTTTTGTTGTATTCATCTGACAGCTGTAGAATGTTAGGCACACTGTACATGAATTTCAAATGTTCCATGTATAACTTACCCGGAAATGCGCTGATGGTAAAGGCATTGCTAAACTATTTTTTTTTGTATATGTTCACAATTTAAAGTAATTATAGTTCACGCATAGTTCTATATGGTCGTTGTGTAGAGGTTCAAATCGTCATTTACTTTGTGACGGATGAGGTGTAAAGAATAATCCTTGGGTACGTATGTGGACAGAGCCGTCACTTAAATGTGTGTGAAGATTTCACTCTTCATATCAAAATCACTACTGTGATATAAAAAATCTCCTGAGAATTATAGATGCGCTTGGATAATATTACCTGACAGCTTAGCAAGGTATTTATCCAAGATTTCTACTGGTTTGTAAGGAACACTGTCAATTACTGAGATGGTCCTCAATTGGCATTAAGAAAACGAACTGGGGCAAGAGACTCTTTTTACCTAATTCCTAATACCTTAAGAACAGCAAGACTCCATGGCTTGCCTAAAACACACAAGGCCAATCTCCCATAAAAGCTCATTTCCTCTGGAATTGGCAATGCACCTAAGTAACTGGCATGAGTGTTGGCTAAACACCTTGCTATGTTGCAAGGTAAGATCAGCCAGAAAAACAAATGCAGCACTTGGAAGATCGTTAATGTTGCATTAGGGATTATAAGATCGAGAGTAAAATGTTTGCCATGTTCACATCATGCCCATAGTTCCTGCTCCTAACTTCATTCAACTGAAAGGAAATGATGATTTGAACCTTCCTGTACGTAGTAAAGATTTCACTGAAGTTAACACACATGTAGTTCACTGTACGTGACCTACAAGTGTTTCAACTTCAAGGGACGCACATGCAAACAACACTTTGATTTAGCTATTGACTACCCCATCAACAGAGTTCTAAGTAATGTCATGAATTCACCAACATTACACCAACGCACCTAGAAGTGTCAGACGGATGCCATATGTACAATAACATTTTGGTTTTTGTGCCTAAAAGGGATTAAAAACGAAACATTCTGAAGTCTATTATATGCTTGCACTTACATGAAATTAACTTTTGAGGAGGAAGAAATAGGCGCTTACCACTTCTCTGTGTGTTACTTCACACGAAAGTTGAGAAAGTCCTGTTCTAAGTTTAAAGAAAGTCAACAAATTGGAATCATTTAATATGTTTGTATTCCCTTCACGACAACAAAACTTAGAGAAAAGTCGTGGTAAGATTTTTTTCTTTTAGTTTTAAGATTTTCAGCCCAAAAGGGTGAAAAAAGTGAATTCCTAAGCAATTCTTCTAATAATTTCGCTTCCCACATCATTTTATCAATATTTGTGAAAAAGTCATACTCAGCCCCAACAGGAAAGACAAAGGCAGCACCTCAGACCCACCCGCCAAATAGTTAGAAACGTGGCTTCCAATATATCATTACTAATAACGGACAATCTTAATAATGTAGCGGCCAAGATTTCCATCTCTATTAGTCTTACTGAAGAAAAACGAAGAGATATACAGACATTTCCTGTTCCAAATGTAGCATGTACTTCACACCTTGAAGCAAGTAGACGACACATCTAGAACAATAAGATGTCATGAACACAAAAATGCTTGCAGCCAAGACGACAAAAACAGCTCCTGCACACAGAAATTTGCAGAACAACGTAAATTTCAAAGAAGAGATAATGAATAATCAAGAAAATAATTTACGCAGACATAAGTACTTAGAAGCAGCCATGAAAACCTCCACCAACACCATCCCACGTAAGTCAGGCAGGTATAGTATACCCAGAACAATGGCTGATCAGTTACTACCAAACAATAACACTACAAATAGATGAAACCAAGTTACTGTACACAAGGGAGAGCTGCAGGAACCCAGCTGCTCCACAGAGAGCAGCTGCTGCCACCTCCTTATCTAGTATGTTACTCCTCATTTTACCCCAAGTTCACATAACCTTTCGTATAATATATACTTCCCGTTCTAGTACCTGTCTATTAGGACTAAATATAATAACATTAATAATTTATTACGGCTGAAGAAGTCACTAGTGGCTAAATGATTCCTTAGTAAATGTCTTAATTATTCCCATCGTACCTTCTACCTACGAACATGACTGGTGAAAATTTTCCATAATTTTTATCTGAACGAACGTATTATAAACTTTTAGTCTGAGTAGAGTACAAATGTACGAAGCTTGATATGGTAAAAATGATTCGTCCGTGTCATAGAAAGGTAAGAGGGATACCCTTAAAACAGATCTTAAAACTGGCTAACTGATCATCCACAATTCACTTCCCTTTTTTTTTTTTTATCTTATCGTAGTAAAACGAATCTACAGGGGGGGGGGAATTATGAACGGCTTGAGGGTTATTCATTTCGGGGATACCAGGCTGAACGGTTACCCACCTGTCTATTGGTATCAAAGTTGATCATGGTGCGGTTATGATACCAGAAGACATACACCGGTGTCTGTGTGTGCTGACGGAGTGTACAGTTGAGCACCACGACACTACCCTCCTGAACATACATCTCCGGGCCACCCGCGATCTCTGCTGATGCTTCTGTAGGTAACCAAACAGCACCACTGATTAATTGTGTGCGTGCGTCCCTGTGCACAGGAACACGCACAGACATACAAGTGTGAGTGTGTGTGTTTGTGAGACACATATGCACTCACTCAAACACTCAGACCAAACGCAAGTACACATATAAACGAAACACACACACACACACACACACACACACACAAATGGTAACTAACATACACACACACACACACACACACACACACAAACACACACACACACACACACACGCACGCACGCACGCATATACAACAGACCTAGTGTCTAATCGACATATGCCTAGGACAAAATGGAAACGAGCACACACACACACACACACACACACACACACACACACACACACACAGAACGACACAGAACGGCAGCAGCTGAGGAAGAGGACAAAAAAGCGAAAGGAGCTAGGAAGGGAGACAAGGACGGAACCAGCAGAGGTCAATCAGAGCAGGACAGAGCAGCAAGGGCAAGCACACACAGAACCATCCCCAGAACCCCACAACCTATCACACTATCCCAACACACACTACAATCCATACCCACAGCTCCCACCCCACACTCAGTTATAGAATCCCACAGTGCACTTCCAGGTCCCCCACCCTCACAGGCGCCCCGAACCACAGTGTTGGAGAGGAAACTGTAGGTATGGTACACAAACGCTGATGGAATAACAAATAAGTGGGAGGAGTGGCACGAAAGAGTCAAAGAGGCATCACCGGACATCATAGCTCTCACAGAAACCAAGCTTACAGGTATGATAACAGATACCATCTTTCCAACGTGATACCAGATCCTGAGGAAAGACAGAGGGAACAGAGGGGGTGGAGGAGTGGCACTGCTGATCAAAAGCCGATGGAATTTTGATGAGTTGGAGAGAGGAGACAGCGGAGAAGCAAGAGATTACATAGCAGGAACGCTTCACTCTGGAAGTCCCAAAGTGTTAATTGCAGTGATGTATAACCCACCACAGAACAGCAGGAGGCCAAGGCAAGAGTATGATGAGAGCAATAGAGCGATGGTTGACACAATGGCTGCAGTGGCCAGAAGAGCTCATGCATGCAGGGCAAAGCTCCTGATCACAGGTGACTTAACCACAAGGAAATCAATTGAGAGAACTTGGAGCCACATGGGCGCCAAGATACTTGGAGGGCTAAGATGATGGAGGTGGTACTGGAAAACTTCATGTACCAACACGTAAGGGACACTACAAGAGAGAGAGGAGAGGATGAACTAGCAAGACTGGACCTAGTATTCACCTTGAGTAGTGCAGATATTGAGGACATCACATATGAAAGACCCCTTGGGACCAGCGATCATGTGGTTTTAAGCTTCGAATACACAGAACTACAAGTAGGGGGAAAAGCATCAAGGCTAGAGTGAATGAAGTCAAACTACAAGAAAGGGGACTACATGGGAATGAGGAACTTCCTGAACGGGGATCAGTGGGACAGAGAACTGGCAGGGAAGCTAGTTAATGAGATGATGGAATATGTAACAACAATGTGCAAGGAGGCTGAGGAGAGGTTTGTACCCAAGGGTAACAGGAATAATGAAGAAGCCAGGAAGAGCCCATGGTTCACCCAAACGTGCAGGGAGGCAAAAACTAAGTGTGCTAGGGAATGGAAGAAGTATAGAAGGCAAAGGCCCAACGACAATATGAAAATGACATAGCAGCGAAAGCCAAATCTGACCCGAAGCTGTTATACAGCCACATCAGGAGGAAAACAACAGTCAAGGACCAGGTAATCAGGCTAAGGAAGGAAGGAGGAGAGACAACAAGAAATGACCGTGAAGTATGTGAGGAACTCAACAAGAGATTCAAAGAAGTGTTCACAGAGGAGACAGAAGGGGCTCCACCAAGTGCTGGACACCACCAAGTGCTGGACACAGTACACACAACCGAGGAAGAAGTGAAGAGGCTTCTAAGTGAGCTAGATACCTCAAAGGCAATGGGGCCAGATAACATCTCTCCATGGGTCCTGAGAGAAGGAGCAAGGGCACTATGTGTACTCCTAACAACAATATTCAATACATGTATCAAAACAGGGAGATTACCTGAGGCATGGAAGACAGCAAATGTAGTCCCAATCTTTAAAAAAAGGAGACAGGCATGAAGCACTAAACTACAGACCAGTGTCACTGACATGTATAGTATGCAAAGTCATGGAGAAGATTATCAGGAGAAGAGTGGTGGAACACCTAGAAAGGAATAATCTCATCAACAGCAGCCAATATGGTTTCAAGGATGGGAAATCCTGTGTCACAAACCTACTGGAGTTCTATGACATGGTGACAGCAGTAAGACAAGAGAGAGAGGAGTGGGTGATTGCATTTTCTTGGACTGCAAGAAGGGGTTTGACACAGTTCCACACAAGACATTAGTGCAAAAACTGGAGGACCAAGTAGGGATAAGGGGGAAGGCACTACAGTGGATCAGGGAATACTTGTCAGGAAGACAGCAGCGAGTCATGGTACGTGGCGAGGTGTCAGAGTGGGCGCCTGTGACCAGCGGGGTCCCACAGGGGTCAGTCCTAGGACCAGTGCTGTTTCTGGAATTTGTGAACGACATGACGGAAGGAATAGACTCCGAAGTGTCCCTGTTTGCAGATGACGTGAAGTTGATGAGAAGAATTCATTCGATCAAAGACCAGGCAGAACTACAAAGGGATCTGGACAGGCTGCAGACCTGGTCCAGCAATTGACTCCTGGAGTTTAACCTCACCAAGTGCAAAGTCATGAAAATTGGGGATGGGCAAAGAAGACCGCAGACGGAGTACAATCTATGGGACCAGAGACTACAAACCTCACTCAAGGAAAAAGATCTTGGGGTGAGTATAACACCAGGCACATCTGAAGTGCACTTCAAACAAATAACTGCTGCAGCATATGGGCGCCTAGCAAACCTCAGAACAGCTTTCCGACATCTTAATAAGGAATTGTTCAGGACCCTGTACACCGTGTACGTTAGGCCCATATTGGAGTATGCGGCACCAGTTTGGAACCCACACCTAGCCAAGCACGTAAAGAAACTAGAGAAAGTGCAAAGGTTTGCAACAAGACTAGTCCCAGAGCTAAGGGGTATGTCCTACGAGGAGAGGTTAAGGGATATCGACCTGACGACACTGGAGGACAGGAGAGATAGGGGAGACATGATAACGACCTACAAAATACTGAGAGGAATTGACAAGGTGGACAAAGACAGGATGTTCCAGACATGGGACACAGCAACAAGGGGACACAGTTGGAAGTTGAAGACATAGATGAATCACAGGGATGTTAGAAAGTATTTCTTCAGCCACAGAGTAGTCAGGAAGTGGAATAGTTTGGGAAGCGATGTAGTGGAGGCAGGATCCATACATAGCTTTAAGCAGAGGTATGATAAAGCTCACGGTTCAGGGGGTGACCTAGTAGCGACCAGCGAAGAGGCAGGGACAGAAGCTAGGACTTGACCCCTGCAACCTCAACTAGGTGAGTACACACACACACTAATTTACATGCACACTTCCCCTCACTTTCTCTGTCCCGTTCCCTCAGCACACAAACAGAACACACCCACATTAAAATACCTAACTTCACTGACTGTGTGTGTCTACCTCTGCCCCCACCCCCTTCTCACTCTCCACCTTTACAACAGTCTGCCCCCATTTCTCTCCACCTTACAACTTCCCCACCCTCACACACACACACTCAAAAAGCACACACAAATTACAACGCCTAACGCATAAGAAAAAGTGGTGGCTCAGAAGGGAAGTTGAAGGGCTCAGGGGATCAGAGGACAATTGCTCTGGCAAGGACGAATGGACGGAAGAGCAATATAAAAGGATGGAACAAGAGTGGGAGGGCAAACTATTTGAGTTTTCTGGGAAAATGGAAAAGAGGATGGAGATAGAGAAGAAGAAATGGGAGTCACAAGCCAAAGCTGCAGAAGCCAGGATAGGGGCCCCTGAATATGAGGTAAATAGGCTGAAGCGAGTTACAGGGCTATTGCAAAGAGGAGACATAGCATCTGAGGAAGGTACACTCCTACTGAACAAGGAGGCCAGTGGAAAGGAAGGAGACATGATTTATTCTAAGGTCTTAAGGTTCATCAAGCAGGGCCGAGAAATGAAGGGGGACAGCAGTTGGGAGCAGGGATAGCAGTAAGGTAGAGAGAGAAGGCAGAGAGGGGATATGTCCCATGCAAAGGCATGACCATGCCAACGAGGGATGCAATATATAAATGAAGGAGACAATGGCCATGTACAGAGCCCAGAGACACTGGGAAAGGCAATGGGAGGAGGAGGGGAAGAAGTCAGTGATTATTCGTGGGCTTCAGGAGAGCGAGTGGAGGACACACAACGAAAGAGGGCAGGATAAAAAACGGGGTACTGAAAAGATCATCAAAGAAATAAGAACATAACATAAAGAAGGAACACTGCAACAGGCCTACTGACCCATGCGAAGCAGGTCCATGCCATCCCCCGGCCTAGAACAATGACCACCTAGTCAGGTCACTTCCACTTAAGGAAGGAGCATGGCACCAGACCTGGTAGCACAAGCTAGTCTGGTCCAACTCACACCCACCCAGACCCACTCGTGTATTTATCCAACCTATTTTTAAAATTACACAAGGTCTTAGCTTCTATGATGGAACTCGGGAGTTTGTTCCAGTCATCCACAACTCTATTACGATACCAGTGCTTTCCTATGTCTTTCCTGAATCTGAACTTTTCCGACTTGAAACCATTGCTGCAAGTCCTGTCTTGACTGGATATTTTCAGCACACTATTTACATCCCCATTATTTATTCCTGTTTTCCATTTATACACCTCAATCATATCCCCCCTAATTCTACGCCTTTCTGGAGTGAGCAGATTCAGGGCCCTCAGTCTATTCTCATAGGGAAGATTTCTGATACATGGGATCAGCTTTGTCATCCTCCTCTGTACGTTTTCCAGTGCATTTATATCTATTCTGTAATATGGTGACCAAAACTGTGCAGC